ATTAATTTCAAATTAAAGAAACGTTTGTTTTTTAAAATAAAGATTTCATTTAAACAAAAGCATTTAAAATAAAGTTTTGAGTATCAAATATTTTGTATTTAAAAAAGAAATTTAATTCACAATCCCAAGGTCTTAGCATAATGGTAAGAAGTGTGAGTGACATCACTCATGTGTTTAATTTTTTCTAATGGTTTTCATGTCACTCATATCTATTAGTTCATATCTTATAACAAAATGTGAATTAATATAACGTGAGACATTTAAATAAAAAATATAAAAAAAATATTTTCCTTTGGACCAAATAATATAATAGGATAATTTATGACAAAATGTGGTACCGTTTTCGAACGGGGTGTCGTAGGGTGCCAATACCTTCCCTAGGCTCAGTTGACTCCCGAACCAAAAATTCTGTTTTCGTAGACCAAGTTTTTTTTTAAAAAGGTGACCAATCACACCTCATAGATGATTGGTGGCGACTCCAAACCCTTATSTCGAGACCCTTTGATGATGTTGCGACAAAATGTATAAGTTTTGGTAGGGTTATTTAATAGTAGATTTTGTGTATTAATCAAGCTTAATTTAAAAAATAATAATAATAAATAAATATAAAATAAAAAAGATGTAGCTGAAAACAAAAAAAAATATTAATAAAGAAAAATTTAAAAAAAAAAATAAAGAGGAGTGTGAACCCCGGACGAAAAAACAAATAATAATAATAATAAATGGAAGTGTACGGGAAGGAAAAACCACAGGGTAACGAGACATTTTATGTAATACAAAATACACTATATTGTATTTTACTAAAATTCAGGGGCAGGTGTCTTGGTCCCAACATGGATCTGCCCTTATTTGTTGGCCTAAATTTCAAGGACCTTGAAGGGTTTAATAAAGCCTTAATTGCGGAGATTTCTCCAAAATCCAAATTTACTAGCTTCTCGTGTCCTGTGTAGCAAATACGGTTTTATATTAGTTTGTTAGTTAGGTTGTTAGGTTGGCTCCTTATAAATAGCCAACCCTTTCCAGCCAAACCCTTTTCTTTGTAAAAATCATAGTCTGAATAAGAAATTCCAGTTCTCAAATCTTCCTACTTGTGGAAGAGTTTGTTATGGGGTCGCGAACTTCTTATCCATGGCCTTCGGAAAAGGGTGGGAAATGATGCTACCATTCGGGTGTTTTCTGACCATTTGGATTTCAAGGGAGCCCGTTACGCAACCTTCTCCTATTTAGATCTCTTAGTCTCAAATTTCATCTATCCTCAAGGGGTTTGGAACACTCAATTTCTCTCCACTCTTCTTTGTCATGATGATATTGATTTGATTTTCAAAATATTGCGAAGCTCTTCAAACATCGAGGATAGTTGGTTTTGGCATTATGATAAAAGGGGTAATTTTAGTGTCAAGAGTGCCTACAAGCTTTTCTTGAATCTACATATTTCTTTTCTTGAATCTACATATTTCTACTCAGCCTAGTAGCTCTATGTTTGACAAAGAACATTTGGAAGGCAATTTGGAGGCTCGACATTCCAACAAAGATAAGAGTTTTCCTATAGAAGGTCATTCACAATCTATTCACAATCTACTTCCTACTATGCATAATTTACTTTAGAAGGGTTTGGATGTCTTACCCCTTTGCCCATATGCATAATTTACTTTAGAAGGGTTTGGATGTCTTACCCCTTTGCCCATGCTTTCGTGGTGAAATTGAAACTGAGATTCATACTCTCTTTCGTTGTAAACGAGTTAGGAGTATCTGGGCACTTGCTCTTCCCACTACCCCTCTTCCTCTACTGCCGCACGTCTCCTTCACGGACCACTGGATTATCTTCTGCAATCCCAAAATAAATAGGGGATCGAATTGGTTGCAATCATTTGTTGGTCGTTATGGAATAACTGAAACAATTTAAATTGACAAAAATCCAATTCGATGTTGCCTGGTTCGCACGGTTTCGTTTTCCCAGTTTTCCTCATGGAGCCCTCTCCCTTTGGCTCGTTCAAATTGAACACTGATGCTTCTTGTGGAAACTTAGTCAGGGTTCTGGACTGGGTCTCATCGTTCGTAATTTCGTTAGCCAAATTTGTGTTGCGGCTTCTCTTTACACTCGAATTGCTCACAGTTCCCTATTAGCCAAACTACTAGCAATCTTTGAGGGTGTTCGTATGGCTCAATCTTTGGGTCATTCAAGACTTTTGGTTGAATCTGATTGTCTGGAGGCAATCTCTCTCCTCCGAGGTGATCCGGTGGCGATGGGTACTGAAGGCATCTGGGTTCACGATATTCACTCCATAGCCGGCACTTTCATTACCTGCGATTTTGTGCATGCTAGTCGGATTCTCAACAAACCAGTAGATTGTTTGGCAAAAATGGCCTTTAGATCCTCAAATTCTTGCATATGGTTTCCTCCATTTCCTCTTTTGATTCTCCATCTCAGGGTGGATAGCTTCTATTCATCATTTGCCCACGTGGTATAATGAATATTAATATTGAGGGGATTATGAATATTCATGAGATTCCATCTCATAACCAATTGACAATAAAAAGACTGGTCCATGTTTATTATAACCCTATATTAGACACTTTTAAAAAAAGAAATTGTGAATTTAAATTTTTCCAAATTAAAGACCAATTGGTAATTAAATAATTAATGGAAGCCATGGAATGTGGCTAATTAATTGATATTCAAAGGTGTAAAAATGCAATTATTATGAAATCTATTTAAATTCTTTGATTAGAACTTTTTCTTTTCAACCTAGGTCATGTTTTTTTTTAATTGATTTGTTATCAATGCAATAAGTTAAGTTATTGATTTGAAACATGCAATCTACTATCAATCAATTCAAACATTCACTAACCATGGAACGATAATTGACATGGACTATTTGTTGGATGTTTGATCCTTCACTATCTCCAAATTGTTCTACTAAGAAAGAATTCAAATATTAGTTGTATTAAAATGTGAGATAGTTGACCATTAATTTAACTTATTTTTTATATTTAAATCCATTCCTAATAATAATAATTTATACTCCGTTTATTTTATCATTTATATTAAAATAAAAATAATATTTACGGTATGTAATTAAAATGAATCACATTAAATTAAAAACGTTTTCAAAATATGAATCAAATTTTAGAAATAAACTTTTTAAACATTGACTACAATTTCAAAAATAAAATTTAAACCAAGACATAAAATTGTTATTAAATAGTCTTGAAATTTAAAAACTGACTTTAAAATACATCATGCATACTATTTTTTTAATAATTAAAAAATGTTCAAAGATAAAAACTAAATCGAAAATTTATAATTATTATATCAATGAAAATTCTCTCTCTCTCTAATTAAAAATAACTAATAACTAAATTGAAAAAAAAAGCCTTTCGTTTTAAGTACTACCCATTAAAATTCGTCGACAGAAAAAGAGAAAAAAAAGAAAAGAAAAAAGAATATACAACTAATAATGGGAAAATAGCTCATATGGCCCTCTTAAGTTTCCAATGTGCTCAAATAACCCACCCCTCAAAAATTGTTTTGAATGACCCAAATCTGTTTTTTCACAATTGTCAGTGGAAGTAAATGTACCTAACTACCCCTCAATTATAGCGTCAATTCTCGGGCTTAAACGTGATTTTCCCGGCCGTAAGCGTGATAATGATAACTAATTCTCCAGCAGAATCGCATTTTTCCCGCCCGAGAATTGGCCAAAATGCTAATTTTGGGTTGTTTATGGGCGAGAATTGGCGAGAAGTTAGGTTGACTTACAATGAATTCCCGGCCGTTAACTGGTATTATTTCGCCCGAGAATTTAAGGTTTTCCAATTAATCAAACAACCACTTCTCATCTGTGCACTTCAGCAAACCAGTCTTCTTCATCTGTGCACTTCGTACTCAGCTTTGCAGATAACAAAAAGAATATTGTACATTGAAAGTAACTCTTCCATCTGACCACACAGTTTGTTTGTAGCTGAGTAAGATTTCTACACAAACGAGGTAGGTGAAATGTCATTTACAAAGAATGATCTTTTTTTGTGTTTTTCGTCTCTGAAGTCGCACATTTATATGTCTACCCTTTTGTTTTTTGTTTATTTGGAAACGTTTGAGTGCATCTTTGTGGTTTTTATTCTTCCTTAGAGAACGACATGTTTGGGGCATGTACTCTGTATTTTTCCATGATTCTCGGGCGAAGTTAGGGTTATTCACGGTCGAAAATGACAATATAATATGAGTTTCTCGGGGCATTTCGGGCGAAATAAATAAAAGAGGATTTCCAACACACCATGGCCGAAATGCCCCGAGAATTTATCCAACCGATAAATAATACTCAAACTGCATATCCACTACGCCCGAAAGACCCCGAGAATTCATAATTTCCCAAATCCGTAACCTAATTTGCCCGAAAACCACCGAGAAATCATCAAATTCCTAAGAACAAACTCCAAAACGTTGGCAATCCTAAACTATTTCGCACAAAACCCACCGAGAATTCTCCAGATTCTAAACAATCGAAGCCCTAACCCACTTTCTACGAAATAACCCCGAGAATACCTCCCATTCGAAAAACCCACAACGACAGTCATCTTCAACCTCCTATATACCTCAAACAACCAGAAATCGGTACAAATACTCGTCGGAAACTAAAACCCCTAAAAATTTAAGATGGAAAATAACGAAATCGAAAAGGAAAACAAGAAATAAACGAAATGAAATCGAACCTTCAATGTCCACGTTACTTTCAAAACGAAATGGAACGTCTAATCGAAGCTTTCTGTGTTGAAGGAAATGGAGGGAAACGAAAAGGATAAGAAGAAGAAGACGAAGGAAAACGAACGGGAAAAGAAAGAGGGGAAAAGACCAACGGTTGGTTTTTTGACTTCAGGAGTACAAATGTAATTTTATTGTTTTTTAAATTAATTCAAATAATAAAGTAGGTGATTGAAAACAATTTTAGAGGGTAGGGTTATTTGAGCAAAAAGAAACCTGGAAGGGTTATATGAGTCATTTTCCCACTAATAATCCAAGGTTTGCAGAGTGGTAGAACGCGGGTACCATGCGAGCGGAGAAATTAGCAGAGGCTTTGATTTGATAACCACGCTCAAGAGGAAGCTCTCACAGAGATGCTGAGTTTCATGATTCTGAAGATTTAGGGCTCCAAAAGGGAGGATGAGCTAGTTAGGTTATAGTTGGAAAAAGTCTGTTCTGGGGTTTAGGGTTTTTGGGGCCTGATGGCAACCTCAGGCCAGTCGCTCCGGTCCTCCTCCGCTGCCTCCACCGGAGGCAACTTCGACTCGCTCAATCGCATCCTCTCCGACCTCTGCACTCGTGGTCATCCCAAGGTGTGTTCCCTGTTGTTTCTTCTCTGTTTGTTGTGTTTTTGTTTCCAGACTTGACATAACCACCCTTTTAAGAGAGCTGAAAATGTGCAATTTTCTGGGGTTTCGAGTGAGAATTGACAATAAGTGATTTGATTTTGTTTTTGTAAGTTGCGTTTCTTGCTCTCGAGCTCTGTTTTGTGCTTTGCTGAGTTCGGTGGAGAAAGTTTTACATGGATTTGAACTTAAGGT